CTCATTATGTCAATACCTGCTGCCTACTTTGTTTGTACTTGCACTACAATTAACATTTTTACAAAACATATAATATCTGATTTTATACCATTTTCCATCTTGGGTATTTGTTTGTTATTAATTGTAGTATTAATGTTTTTGAATGAATTAAAGAATACATAAGTATTTTTCGAACTTCATGGTATTTATTTTGTATGTAGTTATTTGGTTTAATTTTGTTCAAATCCACTAAAATTGAACTAGATAATGTGTTAAACGTTTAAAAAAATCACACTGTTGTTCCTTAATCCTTATACGCGTAAACTGAAAATAATAAACGCTAAAAAGAAATACATTTGCTATGATTTTAATGGAATAATCAAATTTTCAAATACGTTATAAGATAATATTTAAAACGAACGGTTAAGACATTCAAATGCGTATACATTGGAATATTATTATTATCTTGACAAAAAAATAACAATAATTATAACTATAAAACCAACCAATTATATTTTTATTTTTACTAAGGTAAACCAAACAACTATATAAATTAGAACAATTATGTTGTTCTCTAATAAATAGAAAATTTTCAACATTTTAGTTCAAAAATAGTATAATTAGAAAAAAATGTATCAGGTGAGTAATACAAACATGCGTTGCACTATACAATCATGTATTTTCAAAGATATTACTTGTATCATGTGTTTGTATATTTGTAATACATGTAATTAATAACTATGTATATTTATTATATTATATATTTATATTACGATTGTTGATGCATTCCTACTTACTATGTCCACATACTCGCACTCGTACTAATATTATTATGTTTACACGTTCAGCAATAGTAATATTGTACATAATACTATATTGTATTGTATTGGTCATGTACTAGTATTAATACGTTAGTTTTCTCTTCCGTTTGTTTTGTAGAAATTATTTCATACCGTACGGTACTGCGTAAATATACAGTTTATAATAATAATAGGTAATAATAATAACAGTAATAATCAGCGAAATTTGTAGTACTGTTTTTTGTGAGAAGAAAAATACATAATAAATTATAAGCACACATACATAGACGTATATGAATTATAAAATATAAAATATGATCCAAATTACTTTCACTGGTATCTATAATATCTTCCTACGTAAAAATGTCTATTATCTCGTGGGAGGGGAGTAATAAGCGGAAGAAGACCAAAGATGACGTTAAAATATTATTTATCAAACTTAAAATTTCATTGTTGATTACAATAGAGTTTTTTTTTACCAAACTGGACTAGTGTCTAGACTGTATTAATCATTAAACTACAGAGAAAAATGTGCTAAAAAATTATTAAGAAAATACAAACGATTTGTTGTACCAAGTTAAAATAATAATAATATAAATAAACACAGGTAGTAAGAATTACGTTGGACACAAATATTTAAAAATCCATGCTAATTGCGGTACGATCTTATTTTACTTCGATCATGAAATAAAAATATTTTGAAAATGTTTATATAAATATTAGAGGTTTATCATATCCTCAACATTATCCGTTTCGTGAAATGGACAACGTTTGGATCCAATTCACGAAATGGAACCGCGAAAAGTGTTTTCTCCACTATCGCTTAATTACACAAAAATATAATGGATACAATTTTGCGAAACTGATATCTAAACTTGTTTAGTTATTTGGTCATCTACATTGCAATGTAGACAATAACCATTTTACCATCTAGAAAATTAAATCACCAATTTCATTTTTCACAATTTAATAAATACAAAAGCTTAGAACATTAATTTACTTAAGACATTTTGAAAGACAATAGTCTAAAGAGTGGTGTATAGGTACTAACTGTTCAGAGACTTATACTAGGGGGATGTGGTTTTTTATTTGGTTTTACAGTGCCCAATGTAATGGTTACACAGTATTTTAAACATATGAGCCTCAATTGTTTTTGGTTTTTATTCTGTACAGACACGTGTACAGACATGCATAACAAGGCAAAAATATTTATATGCAACCCCCTTTTTTAAGTTAAAATTTGAGATGGATTTTTTTTAAAAACTTTGATGTATAGAATAATTCAATCTTCAAAATTGACTGATTGATGGTGAGTTATTGTTTCAAAAAATCATATGAAATAACATGGACAAAAGTAAAGGAGTGGACTGTTAAAAATACCATAAATTCATGTATCAATCTTGATGTTAATTCATTCTTAGTTAATTTTCAGATGGTAAATAACTTAATAAGTATAATTGTTTAAAAAGAATAATGAAACTCAAATTAAAACATTAAACAAGAATGGACACAATTCAAAACATTTTTTCCAGTGCATACTCTAGAAAAATTTAAACTATTGGAATTTTTCGAAAATGAGTAACAATAGAAGTCTTTAACGCAGTATTTTTATTGTAAAAGTGGTGGTATTATTTAAAATTGAGGTCGATAATTCCTTATTAATTTATTATTGAACTTTCGTTTGGTAGATTAACATTTTAAAGTTAAGATTTTCTAACGTGTTGAACTACAGATTAATTACACTTTTGTCGACATTTGATATTATATATGTAGGGCAAACGTCATAGACTACATATTATTATGTGTATCAGATTGTTATAACTTATAAGTTTTCAAAATATATGTGTAGAAACTCACGCCTCGTTGTCAGTGTGGACATGCGATAAGAAGACAGATCGCGAATACGTGTAGTGTTGGGTCAATAAAACGAACGATTTGTATAGTGTACATATAAGATATGTCTTATATATGTGTATAAGACATACGTTAAGCGAAGTGTTATTAAAGGATTGATTTGATTGGACACCGAATGATAATATATTATAAATTATAATAACAGTCGTACATTTGGCTCTCTATGATAGACCCTATCGCAGAGGCTGGCCCGAGTTTAGGTATATATACACACATTAAAGCGAATATAAAACCGTTCGAATTGATTACAAGTTGTCAGCTACTATTTATATTTGTACGTCGTGACATTGTGGTATGCAAAAAAAAAACAGTTAATTGAATTGGATACGAACGGGTGCTTTGGACGGACCTATACCTACATAAATATAATATATATATATATCGGGCTTATATTTAATATTATTATCATTAGAGAAGAACCGGATGCGGACAATGGGCGTGGGGACCGCAATAAAAAGTCCATCGGTCTGTAAATTATATTATATCCATATAATATAATAATATGTGTAATGTGTATGTGTGTGTATCCTACACGTTGTTATAGATATAGTTAATTATTAATTGGAACTATACCGTTCTGGTGTGTGTGAAAATATCATTGAGTACCACTTTCTATTTTTCCCGCCGTCGTATCATCTTCGTCGGTTTTTCTGCTCTTCGTTTATTCCGTCTGTGACAGATGGCACAATGATAAAATAGACAATATTGCACGTAAAAATTCATTTGTCAAACCCGACACACTGCTGGGGTACTCTCACCGTAAACTAGAAACCTGGTCGGTCGGTCGGCCGATCGGTCAGACGGAGACGACAAACAAAATGGAATGTAAAATATGACATCTGTTATAAAATAACACCAAGGTGTTACTGGGTGATTTCCATTTTTATATTCTTCCGCCACTAACACAGTAGTATTATATTACTATTGAGATCGATTTTTTTTACAAGGACGCGAATGTCGTATAGTTTTGTTACTAGTAGAATTTATTTTGAGTGCGTGTTCTGTGTTCTAAGTATACCATTACTGGTCGGAAAATACGATTTCGTTTATAGAATTCTATACTTCATGATTTTAGTATTGCAGTTAAAATGGCAATTTTTAATGTATGGGTTATGTGATTGCCTTTGATGTGAAATTAAATAATAACCCAACTTGTCAAAGTTTAACACTCTGTTCTAAATTCTTAAGAGTACTTTTATAGACCTATGTTAAATTATGTTATGCTTTCGTAATATGACCACATAGTTAGGTTCAAGTTAAACTACTTAAATAATTATGACAATTTGTTTTTGTGAAAGCGTCGAACCAATAGATCAATCGTTTAAGAGTAATTCATTTCTGCGGTAAACACAATTCGATAATGGAATCTTAAATGAAATTACTAAATGAATATTTCAATTATATATAAACATGTATAATAGACAGGTAGTAGAGATCTACTATGTTTCAACTGTATGATATCGATATGTATTATAAATTGTATGGTTAAAAAAAATCTACTCTCTAAATTATTGGCATTATAATTTGTTCAGACACAATTATTAATTATTACTCATATTATTGTATATTGGTTTTTAAATGATTTTTTTTATCATACAAATGTTTTCATAAATATAATCACGAGTAACACTATTAAAAAATTAACTTTTGTACACATTTTGTTAGAATTAATACGACTATGCAACATCAAAAAACATATTTTTTTAATTTTATTAATGTTGGTTTTAAACATGAATAGAAAATCAGTAAAATATAATTATGCCATATTTTCGATGTTATATTATTAATAAAAGTTAAATACAAATTTTAAATTAAAAAATGTATTTATTTGAGAAAATATGTAGACAGTCATTATTGGATGGTAGGTAATATTAATGATCTCGCAAAATGATCAACCGGTTCTCTGGGTCAAAGTAGTCAAATAAAACGTTTTCACCTGCCAATAACGCGTCAAATGGCTAGTTATGTTATACCAAAAAATAAATGTGAATATTTTATGGCCTAAGTATGTATACAGTATACACTATGACTATAGTTATTACCACTATATTCTGTTCTGCGCCTGTTATCCATAATACATAAACTACCGAACAGACGAAATTAATACGGTTCAAAAATCGATATTTAAACTATAAAAACGCTGGCAGCATACAATTTAGAAAACTTATTAAATATGCTTAAAAAATTAAATTAAATATTTACAATCATTTTGTTACGACGTGTGGCGTCGTTTTTAATGGCGTGGGCGTTTTGACATGCTTTTTTGACGGTTGTTAAAGTCTCTTTCCTTCAATTTTTATTTCACAGGTACTGGCCGCAGTGATAGTGGCTGGCGTGCAATGTTCCAATCACGAGGCCGAAAAACGGGTCATGCACAACAACAATGACAGTCCTATGCGGTTAAAAGCACAGTCCCGGATATCCATGTCAAAGAGTGGATACGGTGCTCGGGTCCAGATCCGTGAAGATTTACATGGACGGAAGCATGCGCACGCAATGGCTATCTGTGATTGTAATGGACAGGGTGAGTACAAACTGGATGTGGTGAAGTAGACTTTAGACTGAGGATCACCAAATAATTTTTATGAAGTTTCGTTTTGAAACTTACCAAACTTTCCGCGGTCCTAAACAGTCTTAATGACTTTTACGCACGTTAGTAAATGCATTTTTTTTTAAATTTGTATTTGTATCAATTAATTAAATAATTTTGCTGTCGTAATATTTTATGGACACACTTATAATGTTTATATTTATATTATAAAAATTTAAGAACTATTCCATGTAAGGGTTCTTAAAAATAGTGTCCGCCAGTCGGTGACCCCTGCTCTAGACTCTAGAGTCTAGGGTGACCGTGCAATTCAAAAATAAAAGTCAGTACGTTCAACTGATATACTTTATGTTTCAATGCTTATGAAAACCGGTTAGAAAAAGTCATTTGGAGTAGATATTTATATGTGAATTGTAATATTTTCTGTGTTAATAAGTCATCTACACGCATAGCCATTGGAGAGAACGACTTTTGCTAAGCCCAGGAAACATTCTTCATGTTTACTGTTATAATAATAAATCATCACGTATTGAAACATTTTTCAGAAAATAAAAGTATTTATAATTATTTCTTATCTTATGAAAATTGTCTAACTATTTTCAAGTGATATTCGGAAACTTTAAAAGAAGGAGACAAGAGTCTAAGTCAGGCAAAATTCACTTAATGATAAATATATGCAGAAATCATACATTTTTATAAAGGATTTAAACCTTCCAAATGTTTAAGTTCAATGTTATAAATAATTATTTATGAAATACCATATTATATTATTATCAATTAGAGATTTGAAACTAATGTTTGTTTTTGATTTTTTTCTTCAATAAATTATATAAAGGCAAAGAAAATATTTATGCTTTTTTATAATTTAGGCCTACTCAGGAGTCAGAATAATACACACGCCTGTTTTGTATTATACATTACATAACAATTATGTAATTTTTTTCTATTTTTTGATACATTTTGAAATTTTGTGAAATTGTATTATTGTTTTCCACCATATACCTAGGTACTTATTATTATTTCGGAAAGATTGAGTGTCTTGCAACTTTTAAGTCCTGGACCTGGTCAAAACTATACGAATACATACATATACGTGTTATGTATAGGTATTTTATAAGCATGTTAACTATTTGTTTTAATAATTATGTTTTACGGTTGAGAGCAGTCACCGGTCCGCGTGCATTGCCTGTTGATTATGTTAACAGCCAACAGGACGTTTACACTGCTAGAATACTATAAAATATAAATTACAGTGTATCACGATTTCGCACATACTACAATGCCACGTTAGAGTTACTAAATGGATTTGCTAGTCGGTAATCAAAGTTAAAACTATATTTTACTCATATGCACGTATAAGTATATGTTTAACATATTACAATATTTTTTAGCTATTAATGCTATGATGTTTTGAGTGTTGTTATATTTTATACCAAAAAATTATATTATAATATTATTATTCTCATATATAGGATGCGTACAGTGAAAGTTTGAGTTTATCGACGATTGGTGGTAAAATATGACGTACCTATACCAAAAATATAGTACTCACGGATTATAATAAACTGCACACGAACGTTACTCGGTTGAATATTTTTAGACGGGACTCTGACCGACACCCGCGTAAGATTGTCGCTTCGGGGGACGTATAATGCGTGTTAGTTGTTGACGGGAGGGGTGCATTGTATTATTTTGTAGACGATTTGACCTGTTTAAGACAGTAAAGCGCTTCATCGTCTATTATATATGTAAATAAAAAAAAAGAAAATTTAGGAACTTCGTATTTTTTTTTACACCGCGGTATCACGATGACCTCTAATAATGACTATATAATATATATAGGTGTGTACCGCGATCAGTTTTTTGCGGATGAGTTTTGCAGTAGTGTACGAATATTGTGCGTATGCAATCGCGCTCGCAGTATAAAATCCCATCCGGTGCAGAATCAAAATTAGTATATTTGAATTAATTATTTCGATATACCACAAGACGTATATGGATATTGGATATATTATAAATTCTAGTATTGCATGAGTAAATGCCCCACTTTGCTCTTTCTGCGGGAGCCCTTGTGTGTATCATGTATATTGTATACCATATGAGTTCGAGTCACAAAATCATTGAATGTAATATTATTACAAACGAGATTACCCCAAGATCTGGTCGGAGTGAATGATATCAGATTATCGAGAGATGAATAGATATTATAATAATGATAATATATCGAACCAGAAATCTGACGATGCCGATTGACGATATACATCCGGAGGTGTCGAGGTTTGGATCGAATGTTGAGTATCTTCTAACCTAATTGCTCGGGTCTGCAAGCCGTAAAGCATACGTGTATCATGAAGTGGTGTTGTTTTGATGATCGAATGTTTTTTTTCTAATAGCTGACTGCATAATATCAAGCCACTAATTTTAACCCGACGGAGAAACGAGTAAACGGTGCAGTATAACTACGGATACATATAATAAATTGCAAATGAATACTATGCTCGTTTTAGCGTCCGTAAAAAAAAGCAAGCGAAAGGTTCGAATGGATATTTCTGACGGAAAATAATGATCGGATAGATAGATCGATGATAATATATTACATTAACGCCTGTAATACGTGCGACGTGTTTGGCGTTAAATGAAAAACGGCATTGCAACTCGCGTGGGTAACGTCATATTAATATAATAGTATAGGCACAGGTATACACGAGGTGGAATTGAATCGCACAAAATACAACATCGAAATGACAGCTATGATATCAATACAACCATATATATATATATATATATAGTACTTATTATAGCTGGTACGTACATACATAAATGTATATTAAATCAGTGCGTTTTTGATTTTCACGCAGACATATATATATTATTAGTTATTACTATTATACAAATCTACAGGTCTACGGCGCGTATTCAGTACACAACTATTAAAATATACGGTTTGATATTTTATGGATACATTTACACGCGGCGACAACACGACGCCAATCGTACACGTATAAAATATTAGTATCTACATGCTGCATGTATATATTACATTTAACAAGTGCGTTTATCATTTATATTATGACGCATCGATATGCGTTATAGTGTTTGTTTTTTTTACTCATTTATCGACCGCCGTCGATTGTTGAACGTATATATAACAAGGTGGTTACATTGCTGCTGACTGCGGCGACGGAAACTAAAGAAAAAAATCAAATTAAAATGTAGACAAAATAACATTAATGAAAACCAGTCGTAAGCTCCAGGAACTCAAACTGACGGAGTACAATATTATATTAATATCATACACATAAAATACGTCGACGTGTATTCGTGCGCAACAGTAGCTGCTGTGTGGGTCATCGTCATAATAATATATACATATATCATCATCGTCATAATTATACCATCGACGGAATATTATCGTTTTTTTTTTATTTTTTTTGGTCACTTAGTGTATTCGATTAATTTAATATGATGTAAATACATTATTGAAACGTTTATTAAAAAATGATCGCCGATGAGTTTCGTCGTTGCGGTCTCCCAAACTCTAGATCCGTTAATAAATTGTATCGTGTCTAGAATTTCAAGAAAAAATAAAGAAAATAATTATATATAATATATGCTGTTATTTATTACTTTTCTTGATGTACAATATGATGATATCGTACATTGGACGAATCCGAGGATTAAATTTAAATCCAAAATATTATTCGAGGGTATATTTAATGAAATTATAAAAATAATCTCAATAAATTAAAATTTTTTAGTTTTCAAGTGATTGTTTATTGTGTTGTTATTTGTTAATTACATACTATTCAGTGATTTTAATATTAATTTGATTAGCATGGGCAATTTGTAGAATTTTTTTTAGAATTTATTGTAGTTTTAGGTAAAGGTTTATAAAATGTTTCATTTTTCAATTATAGATCAGTTTTTTTTTCTAATTATTATATTCAATAAGTATTAATAATATCTTAAAGATCGGATTTTGTATGTGTAAGAGAACATTAAAGAACGTCTCCACACTATAGCTACCTAGTATAACGGAAATAACGGTTAAAAAACTATTTTTTTGATAAATAATTTATCATTATTCAAATTTTAAATGTATTATTTATATATGAGCCATTATTATCCTGCGCCGACGTTAACGAAATTATTGCGCGACTCCCATGACCTCAACTTTTATTATATTTGTCTATCAATATTAGATTTATATTTTATCAATATTATTTGATCAGGATTTGTTAATAAGAAATGCTTCCTCGTATTGTGTTAGTAGGTACTTACAGCATTTAGCGTTTTATGTATATATATATTTTTGAAAGTATCAGAGGTATAATATTATGTCATACATTATAATTTATAAGATTTCGATAATGGCTGTTATTATACGTATACTGTATACATTAACAACATTTTTTGTGTTTCGTCGAAATTCGGAATTCGCAAGATTTGACAGAATGTAATTGAGATAAATAAGAGTTTACGCGTTTTAGACGATTTCGATTTAATGATTGCAATTCTTGAAAAACAATTGACTATTTTGTTGAAACTTGCTTGGAGTTTTAAATTTAGCGAATCATTTTATTGTGCCACAATGATATTTTTAACTCGTTTTTAATCCGTATCAATTCATTATTACGTCTTGTGACGCGTGCTGTAATTCACGAAATCGTTTCAAATATGATATTTTTTGTTTTGTGCCAAATAATTCTTTTTAACTCCGTGATAGCCTAAGGTGTGTCCGGTCGTGTTTTTCAAAAAAATAAATAATAATAATGAAAATCATGATAAAAACAGAATCTTAAAAAGTTCGAATAACTCTCAACAGCAGGTATACCGTGAATACCGTAATATTATATCCGATATATCTTATACCGTACATTGTGAATATAGATGTATTGAAAAAAGGATTTATAAACTGGAAACATATTATTCAAGATATTCTACATTATGATGTACGTATTGTATTATATGCAGCA